CAGCTGCTAACGATTCTAATATTCGCTTGTCTCCTGAATGAATTTAATGGTCCAATGGCTTTCATGTCATAAGTATTTGGCAAGGCTTCACCAGTTTCGAGATGTCATTTGTGTGTGTGTGTGTTAAAAATAACTATTTTGTCCCGACACTGACAGTCTCGGGCTTCGATTGTGCTTCATTGTTTAGAAGAATAAACATCAGTTAATTTAAATGAGCAAATTTTCAAGTACTCAAATTATGCGCATATTTCAGGCGGAATGGCGGAACGATGATTTTAAACCCGAAAAAGGCTGGCCATCAGAGGGACAAATTACTTTCAGAGACTATTCGACGCGCTATCGCCCTGGACTAGATTTAGTCGTGCGACAGTTGAATTTTTCCGTAGAACCAGCTGAAAAAATTGGTATTGTCGGTCGTACAGGCGCTGGTATGATTTTGTGCTGCGCTTTGACCTCTTGCCGCATTTTTCTTCGTTCAGCGTTTACACTTTGAAATTTACATCTTAGCTTATTAATTTTTTAATTTATTAATATATTAATATGTTTGTTCACGAAAGCTGAAGAACGAACGCTGGCTGAGACGGAGAGAGCGCTGGTGCGAATGATTTTTGGCGTGCCTCTCTATGACCATATAAACAGTCAGACTCGCAGAAAAATGAGTAGCGGGCAGGATGTCACTGCAGTCTATGAGGAAATAAAATCCGATGGGTGGGACATGTTGCTTACCTTGCCAACAACCAGTAAATGTTTCGCATTTGTGAATGATTGCCACGGGAAGGTTGTCGACCACTTGGGCAACCTCCGCAAAGGGTGGCATATAGGAGGTGGGCACTATCTAGAAGCACACAACCTAGGGTTGGAAAACCCTGACATAGCTATTCTTGGCGTTTCGGTAATAACACTAACACAAATATTAAAATAAAGATACTCACAATGACAGCTCGAGCAGATTTGTTTTTATGCGTTTTTTGCAGCTATGCAATGCAAAAACGCATATTGTCGAGGGGTTGTCTGTGTATGTATGTCTGTGTGTATGTATGTATGTGTGTGTGCCTGTGTGTGGGCCTGTAACGAGTTTTCATCTCGAGATCCACAAAAGTTACAAGGCTGAAAATTTGGTGACTTAATCTACACATTCGTGCGGACCCCTGTCGTCAAAATAGACCATTGTTCCCGCGTGGATCTCACGTACGGGCACGTGAAAGCTTTTTTGGCGGTAAAGCGCTTTCGGGAACGGTCCATGCTAGGAGGCTGGAATTTCACAGGGTTGTTCCTTGACCGCGTCTAATCCAAAGATTTTAAATTCAGCTTTCAGGCAATTTCAGCTCTGACGTACGCACACGTCAAAGTTTAAACTGGCATCATGCCAACTCCAAATTTAAGGTGATCAATAAGCTGTAGAGGGCTGCAATTTTGCAACTTTACTTATCGCCTACTGTTGTGTCCGTGAAAGTAAATTACTTGTCAGCTCTTCCGCATCTCACGTACAAACACGTAAAAATTTCACGCAAGCGCTTTTGTAACTTTAGATTTGAACCAGCCAGAGGACCTGAACTTTCTAAGCATAACCGATGGTATCCTTTGACCAGATGCACGCAAAAAAGACTTACACATCACTTTCACGTTTCACGTGCGTTTCACGCGCACACACGAGAAATTTGACGTAACTCTGCAACCAGAGCAGCTGGAGCGCTGGAACTTTCTGTGCGTTACCTAAGGCCGTGTTTGAGTAACCGCAAGTGAAGAAAGTATTCACGTTGCCACTCACGTACGAACACGTAAAATTTGACGTAACCCTGCAACCAGAGCAGCTTGGGTACTGAAACTTTTTGAGCACTACCTAGGGCAGTCTTTAAATAACCCCAAGCGAAGAAAACACTCACGTTGCTACCCACGTACGAACACGTGGAATTTGGCGTAACTCCGCAACCGAAGCATCTAGAGCGCTGAATTTCTTGGGAGTGGATTGGGAGTCATTGTAATAATTTCTAAAAGTCATGGTGGCCCGTCACAATTCTTTTAGCTAGAAGCATCTGCCGGGAAGGGCGTGCCACTGGCAAAAAAAACCGGCGGGGGAACTGTGCAAAAAACGCATCCTCGTACCGGCAGCCGGTACGCTTTCGACTAAGTTCCTATTAGTATAGTTGTACTAAAAACTTAAACTGTACTAAAAACTTAAAGAGTGGCGGGCATAGCTCAGTAAAAAATAGCACTGCTACTATATAGAGGATCGAGGGTTCAGCCTGGGAATCCATCTGGGGTTCGTTCATTCCTTTTAGTGATAAATTGGTGCTGGGCAAGTCAGGGAGTCAAATCAACTACAAATGCATGTAAAAGACCCTTCAAAGAAAATGCCACTGGCAGTGTATTTCCTTTTACTTTCTTCCATACTCTTCATATAATTCTGTTGCCTTCTCTTGCTCTTTTCAGAATTATTTTAATCTGTCTTTTCTCACATGGCGAGTAGGAAAATGTACTGACGATTTCCACTCCCACTTGCATCAGATGCTCTGTCTGTGTTTACAGCTAAGGGAAGAAAAACAGACAGCAAACTTGTCTATACATTAGAATGTGTAATTTTCTAACAATCTTACAAAATATGTTCGTGAGCGGATAGTTACTTTTGACTTCTAACTTCTGTAGCCACACAAACAGCATGTTTACGGAAGT